AGATTCATAGCGTTGGACATCAACAAGGCTTTCCTGCAGGGTCTCACGTATCGTGAGATACATGAACTTACAGGTGAAGAAGAGCGTGATGTATGCTTCACACTTCCTCCCGGCAGTGGGGCCTTGTTGCGCCGACTTCCTGGTTACGAGGACTTTGATGAAAGAACAGAAGTGCTCAGGTGCGTGAAGCCAGGAACTGGCTGCAAAGATGCACCGAGAGCCTTTGCTCTCAAACTGGCGAAATATACCAGGCATCCGAAGATTGGACTGACTCCGACGCTATTTGATAGTGAACTCGAGATCAAGTTCAAGAATGGCAAGATCGTGTTAATGTTGGCGAAGCATGTCGATGACTTGAAAGTCGCTGGCGAACCCCATGAGGTCGAAGCTCTGGTGGCCCATCTTGAATCAGGCTTCGGAAAGTTGACGTTCAGCGAGAACTGCTTCACCAACTGTGGGCTCAGGCACACACGATTGCCAGACGGATCTATCGAAATGGATCAGCACGAATATGTTGATTCAATGAAAGCAATTCGACACCCCGAGTTGACTGGAAGGAGAAGCGACGAGCCCTGCAGTGAAGCCGTGAAAGGGCTCTACCAGAGCCTACTGGGGGCAGTTGCATATGCCTTGATGTCCCAAGCTGGGGCGTCAGTCTTTGTCATAGCGCTGCAGCGCCGCACCTCTAACCCCTTGAATCTGCATGTGCGCCGACTCAACTTGTTGTTGGCTGCACTGCAGAAGCAAAAGTGTAAACTGCGATTCCCAGCCATGAAGTGCAGCCGTCGCCTTGTGGCATACTCTGATGCCTCCTTTGATAAAGAGAGCGACAGCAAAGGCTACGGAATGAGAGGGACCGCAGTGCTACGGTTAGGAGTGCGAGAAGGCAAGACTGTTTGCCACCTCTTGGAAGCCCAGTCGCAGAGCCTTCGCCTGGTGACGAGGAGCACCTTTTCTTCAGAAACATTAGCAGCTGTTGGTACGGTCGACAACCTCGTGCCATGGCTGTATACATTTCACGAGGTGCAGACAGGACCTCTAACCAGCGACGAAGCTCGCCGATTACGCGAGCACGGTGGTTTTTCCATGGAGTCAGAGTTGGTGGTAGACGCGATGAACCTCTTCCATGCACTGACAGCCATAAGCCCGAAAACACCGGCGGAGAAAACGCTGTATTCCCACCTTGCATGGCTGCGCGACTTGATGTGTCGTCACATTCCCAACATCGTAACCTGGTGTGACACACGAGACATGATCGCGGATGCCCTGACGAAAGGAAAGGTGTCAAGAGACGCCTTATTCGAAGTGATGCAGGGCATGTTTTCCCAAGTTCACGAAGCCAAGCGCTACCGCAAGCCAGTGCCAACTGCAAGCAGCTCATCCTCTAAAGAGGATTGTAGCCAGCAGGGCACCGCATGAAGAGTTCAATCAAACAACGACAGTAACCTGACGAGCACACCCGACTAGCAGGGTACCTCACAAGACATGTACAGTTCCCGGCAGCACTGTGAGCTCAGCAGTCAGAGTTAGAAAAGGCCCATTGAGGTTCAGCCCAACATGTCAGTCAGACCTCCTTTCGTTTGCGTGCTGATAGGGCTCATGATTTTCGGACTTGCGACAAGCTTCCTCCGCCGAGCGAGCAGGATGAGCTGCTTGACATTAGAGCGCAGTTGGCGCGTGCGATGCACCCTCCCAAGGAGCGGGGATTGGGATACAGTAAAATGGGATTCCGTGCAATTTGTTCTTGTTCAAGTTGTCGTGGGATTCGGGGGAGCGCTTGCGGCTTTTTGTGTAGTGACGGCCATTTCTCGGTGTCAGGTCTCTGGGGAGGCACAGTCCATGCAGGAGTTGATGATGCAGCAGGTTCCTTGCCATAGTCTTATGCCGGAAATCTTCACGAATTCAAGAGTCCACGTTTGGATCGCGATTGAGATTCGGTTGTGCTTGAGGCTCTTGTACCAAGCCGTCAGGTGGGCCATGAACAAAGGAATTGGTTGGTCTGCTAGACGGCTGTGGATTCTGCACGAGTTAAGTTAGATACTCCAGCGCTTTATGTTCAGGCGACCCTCAATCCGATCTGCAGGACAGCCGGCCAAAGGACCATCACATATGGAGATTGTTTCGTGCGTGGGTGAGAAATGCCAAGCCGCAAAGGGATCACGTGGCTTTCAACGTCGTGAAAACCAAGATAGTCCAGGAAATCACCGGCTGTGAGCCCTGGGTGATACAGCGTGCTTTCGATGCGATTGAAGCGCTTTGTCGGAAGCTGGGGCTGATTGAGAAGGGAGCCAGTCCTCTTGACAGCTGCCGCCGACCGACTCCTTGTGACGGATGAAAAGGGTTTTTCTGCGAGGTGGGCTCAGTACATAGTACGTTCTCCAAACAGAACCCTTAATTAACCCGAAACAGCATATTTGTCCATGGTTGTCCCTTGCAGGGCCGACCAGATCGTTCGTGGCATCACGACGAGGGAGGGCCGATGTACGGCTGCTACGGCTGCAGCGGCGACGACCTTCCAGCATATTTCGGTCACGAGTTTCATGCCTGTAGGAGGCTCTGACGATGCGGTTTCGCCAGTGGTTGTTATCGTACCATTCCGCAACGTCCACGAGGATTTCGGCAAGATCTGGCCCGAAGCGCTCTTTTGGTCACATGAGAGTGGCTCACAAACCGCCGAGAGCTTCCCTGACATGCTGGAGCAGTGCTGTTTGCGCCCCATGCGCCAAAAGCATGGCGACAAACCGTTTCTACTGCTGATGGATTCCGGCGGGGGGACCGCTCCGCACATCAGCGTGGCAGTAGCACTCCTGCTTTCTCGCTACAATGCACATGCGTACGTATTACCGGCTTATTCCACCAAGGCTTTATGCCCGTTAGACCAGCTTCCCCATTCCCTAATGGGGAGGCGTTGGTCGGCATTCAAGAAATCGTGGGCGGAATGGAGAGGCCGTGACATGAATGTCTGGGAGGCTTGCGCAGGCATCCGCCGCATAGTTGCGGAGGCTTTGTCTGCCCCGAACCGCCTTGCCGGATGGGCACATTGCGGATTTGTGCCAGGACTGTGTTTGCAGCGGCACAAAGTGCTTGAAGACCGTTTTGCAGAAGTCTTCCAGTCAAAGCGGTCTTGTGCAGGCAACATAGGCTTTCCAAAAAGCAAGGCAGCTGTCGCTTTGGAACTGCTCGACGTGGTCTCGCCAAGCAGGTCCCGATGCGACGTGGATGGATGCAAGCGCATGGTTCTGCTCGAAGTGTGGAGCACCAAACAGCTCGTATGATGCAGAGACCGCGCAGCTTTTCCAATCTGGGCGAAAAGCTGGATGGCATAAAGCAGCCAAGGCGCAGATCGTCCCGGAGGCAGAGCGTCAACTTGCACGTGGAGTTGGTGATTTGCTGGATGCGATCCGGAAAAGAATCCCAGATTCATCAACAACAAGCGTTCCTCAAGCCTGAGCCCTTGCCACCTGCAGCTGCACCCGCCCTCAAGAAAAGCAAGACAGAGCCCTTGCCACCAGCTGCAGACGACGAGGATGAGGACATGGAGGCATCCGTCGAGCCAGAATGGGATCTAAGCTAGATGGCCCATTGCCAGCAATACCTAGAGGAACACTTTCCGGCCAGCGAGGCCGCTGCTGCCGGCGTGAGCGTGGAAGGGTTCGGTCGCATCGTAAGCTTCTTGGGAGAGTTGCGAGCCCGAAAGGGCGGATTAGCCCACTGGTTCACGAAGGAGGTGTTGAGCTGTGGCATGTTGAAGACAAAGGCTTCTCGTGCCGCATGGCTCCACGCCTGGAGAGCGCAGCGTGGCAAGACGTTCCTTCCGAAGAGCAAGCCAAAACGCGGGAGATGTCGTGCTTTGCTGCAAGTTTCAAGGCATGGGCTTCGATGTCTGCTTTATTTTTGGAGTACGTTCGAACGCGAGGGGCTTTGCTCTAATCGCTGTTTGTGTCCGCCTAAAACCTTGCGTTTACTTGGGGCTTCACTGCCAAAAGTGCTTGCTGTCTGTATCTATTTATGACTTATCACCAGAGAAGGGGTTGATTTAGTCCAATTGTTTCGGGTATATTTCGAATTCGTTGCACATGCGTCTAGATGGGGGAAAAGCAAAAGGCATGACTTAGGCGTGACTTTCGTTTTGCTGCGGTTAGATGGCGGAAAGCCTCCAGGCATGACATAGGCGTGACATAAGCGTTTGCCTGTACATACGGTATACTGTCAATAAGCGATTGCAACAGGGCAATAAGCAGAAAGTCTCGAAGACAGCAGCTAGAAAAAATTGCAGGACCGGAAAGCGCTGTTGCCCTTCATCTACTGAGAGAATTCCGGCTGCACGAGGCCACCGCCCCCTGCTCTCGCCGTCGAATTGGTGCTCAGGTTGTAGCATTCTCACTCCACTCATCATACTCGTGGCTCCACCTATCCCTTGCAACTCTTCCAACGTGCAGGCTGCGGACCTTTGCTGTGGGAGACTTTGCTGACTTTGTCGTAGTGCCTTTCCACTTCGGACGTTGTGGTGCTTGACGCGGCTGTCAGAAACTTGTCAGAGGTGACGGGGCTGTTGCCAGCAACTGCCTGTGGGGGTGATGCTGAGAGGGCGACACTTACCCAGGTGCAAAACAAAGCTCGTGTTGTGAGAACCTAGCTGACACAGCCGGCAGTGCAGTGGATGACTTGCAGCAATCTCGAACATTCCATTTGCATCGTGTCGGAAACCTGTTTTGGCTCGTGCCTTGCGAGTTTGTGGCGTGACATGAACCGCATCATTCACCCTGCTTCACCGTTCCAGCGGACACCAGGGACATTGGGTCCTGTCAAAAAGTGAAGTCGCGGGCAAACCAAAGCAGGAATTTCGCAGTCCAGAGTCCAGCTTGGCTGCCAAGTCGGCTAACTTCTGCAACTGTGCGAACATGCTTACGTAAGCCAGCGAAGTGGGAAGAGAGGTTTTGTTGCTAGAGCTTGAGCTTCCCCGGTAAAGTCACCTCGTGCGTTTGCGCGGCGTGCTCCGGATGATCTCGCAGCCGACACCTCAGCTCCGGTGCTGTGCCACAGTTACAGCCAAAGCCACAGATCCGGACCACAGTGCATGAAACTCTGTTAGGAGAGCCAGTGTCATATCATGTCATATCAGGCAGACTCGGAGGCAAATTTCAATATTAATTTGCTGCTGCGTGGCGAAGGTTTTACATTCTGTCCCTGCGCGGCGACACCATCATCACGCGAGACTTCCGCGGTGATGTCGTGAAGGGCACTGCGGAGATTTTCTTCAGAAAGGCTCTCCCTGGAAGATTCTAGGGAGCAGAAGAGGGTCCAGATTGAGCAGGTAAAATTCTGGCACGGCGACGCTCCTCCAATCTTCAACTTGGATGGTGCCTGCAGCTTAGATAAGAGAGTCCAGATGCCAAAGAACTAGCGATTAGACATCATGGCACAAGGTCACCTATGTCTTCATCAAGAAGAATGGATTGCATCCCACTGCTGCATCGTCTTTGGTTCATGAAATGTGGAGCGAGTTGGGAAGCTTGGCTACAAGGTGTGCATTCGATTTTCTTTCAGGTACTTCGTGGCAACTACATGTCATAACATCTCCCCGGCTGCCGTGGTGGAGCTCCTCACGAAGATGGCGAAGGCCCTTGCGGACTGGCGAACCGGGTAGGATCGGCTGCACCAGGGACTCGAAGTGCCAGGTCTTTAAGGACTTTTGTGGGATGCTCAACGAAGAGAGCATAAGGACGGGCGAGTCTGCAGAGCCGCCCACGAGATGTCGTGAGAAAAGTTTCGGGCAAAGTTGTCGAAATACAGGAAAAACTTTGTGCTCGTGTATGAGCTTCTCGATGAGATGGTGGATTTCGGTCGGTACCTGAGAGAACATCTGTAGTGCAGTCCGCAGCCAACAGCAGCACTGAAGACATTGGCAATTTCGATGTTCAAATGACCGGGAACGCAGCGAGTCGGTGCGTCCTTGCACAGGCTATCCGCAGACGACGAACACGGAGCACCTGAAGCATTTCCGGCAGATTGCATGCACGCCATCTAGGAGTTGGATCAGCCTCGAAACCCCATGAGCAGGGGAGCAGGACAGCAAACAGCATCAAGTAAGGAAGGCACAGGAACGGAACATGAGATCAGAAGTGCAGCTCACTCTGCCTCGCCAGGTCCTGCATCCATAATGAGGCAGTCGTCATAGAGGCGCCAAAGCAGAGCCCTCGGCCGTTGCGGCGTTGGTCTCTGCTGCCGAGCCTGCCCTTCTCACGACTAACGGGGCTGCGACACCCAACTTCAGCCCATTCCCCTCGATTCGATGAAGTTTTGCGGTCTGTTAAGCGCAAACGCACGCCAGGTGCCTAACCACCAGTTGCATGAAGCAATAAAAGAAAGCTTGGCCTTATCAGGTCGTCGGAATCCCTTGATACTCGTAGCCGCATAACTGGGCTTCAAAGATGAAGCCAGTGCTGCCCAAAGAGCACCAGACCCTTGAGCTCTCTGTTCTTCGACGGCAGAATTTCAGATACCCTATTGGCTCTCAGGCTTGGCCTCAATCTGCCCCAGTGGAATCCACGCACGGTGCCCAGCAATGCCGTCCACAGGCCAGCGCGGACCTCAAAGGGCAGGGACAGGGTTCAGGCCTCGTCATTTGCATACTGTCCGTGGGCCTTCGCCTTCGTGATTTCAGGTCGGTCCGACGCATGATGCCAAGAACAAGAAGAATGAGATCTTCGTAGACATCTTGGAGAGAATCTCGGTGCGCGCCACCATCACAAGAGGGGCATTGGATGGGATAAATGCCGCACTTGAAGTCCAGTCGATGTTCGTAGCCGTTATGGAGGTTCTGATGAGCTCGAACGGTTTTGTCATCAATAGTGCGATTGACGGCAGCATCCAAATGAAGCCTTTAGCTCAGTTTTCGTGGTGGCCCTATTTTTTCGGTATTTTTTTACCGTTTTTTCTGGTATTTTTTTTCCGGTCTCCTGCCCAAGCAAGCAAGCAAGCAAGCAAGCAAGCAAGGAAGCAAGGAAGCAAGGAAGCAAGCAAGGTAGCAAGCAAGCAAGCAAGCAAGCAAGCAAGGAGGGCAGCAAGCAAGCAAGCAAGCAAGGAAGCAAGCAAGGAAAGGCAAGCAAGCAAGCAAGAAAGGAAGCGCGCAAGAAAAGAAGCAAGCAAGGAAGAAAGGAAGCAAAGGCAAGCAAGCAAGCAAGCAAGAAAGGAAGCAAGGAAGGAAGGAAGGAAGCAAAGGCAAGCAAGCAAGCAAGAAAGGAAGCAAGTAAGGAAGGAAGCAAAGGCAAGCAAGCAAGCAAGCAGGCAAGGAAGCGAGGAACCGAGGAAGCGAGGAAGCAAGCACGGAAGCGAGGAAGCGAGGAAGCCAGCAAGCAAGGAAGGAAGGAAGGAAGCAAAGGCAAGCAAGTAAGCAAGCAAGAATGGAAGCAAGGAAGGAAGGAAGGAAGCAAAGGCAAGCAAGCAAGCAAGCAAGCAAAGAAGTTAGCAGGCAAAGAAGGAAGCAAGGAAGGAATCGAGGAAGGAAGCAAGCAACCAAGCTTCGCAGCGCATGCCTGTAGAGCAGAAGCATCAGAAGCGTATCTGTAGACTGTGATATACATATATGTATATATATGTATATATTACTTGCATATCGACACATACACACATACACACACACATACACACACGCACACACACACACACATACGCATACACACACACACACACACACATATATATATATATATATATATACACATACTTGCGCACAAATGTATATGTAACAAGTAGCTGAATGTCTATGCGTATATGAGCAAGTCTGCCTACATAACACGATTGGTTTAAAGCTGCGGCGTTTCACCGCCCAATCCCAACTGATAAAAGCACACTATGGATGTATTATGATCTTGTGCATATTTATATTTATATTTATATTTATATTTATATATATATATATATATATATTTATATTTATAATTTCACAAGGGCCAGCCGCCGGAGGAGCGTTCCGCGTACTCAGTTTGTACTTCAAAAGAGCAGTTTCCAAGCCCGGCCACTGGAAGAGCGTTCCGCGTACTCAGTTTGTACTCCAAAAGAGCAGTATCAAGGCCCCGCCACCGGAAGAGGGTTCCGCGTACCGAGTTTGTACTCCAAGCAAGCAATTTCCAAGTCCGGCCACTGGAAGAGCGTTCCGCGTGCTGAGTTTGTACTCCAAAATGACATTTTCAAGGCCCGGCCACTGGAAGTCTGGAAGAGGGAAGGTTTCAAAGGACACGTGTAAATTCCATTGCAGCCGACCAGGCATGGATGTGCAATCAGCCGATGCACAAGATCATAATACATCCATAGTGTGCTTTTATCAGTTGGGATTGGGCGGTGAAACGCCGCAGCTTTAAACCAATCGTGTTATGCAGGCAGAGTTGCTCATATACGCATAGACTTTTTTTATATGTGACGAACCTCACTGGTCTGCCGTGTTGAAAGTATATGATAGGCGGAATCGCGAGATGAGGGGCGTGTTTATATAGATAAATAATATATACACATATATATGTATGTATGTATATATATATATACATATGCTGAACCCAATGGGGGGGTGTTGAAGATATTTGATGAACCCCGCTGGTCTGGCGTGCCGTGTTTAAGGTATATGATAGCCGGAATCGCCAAATGAGGGGCGTGTGTGAATTTCATAACAAAAGGATATATATATGTATGTAATCATGCAAGCAGGGTATACGCAATTACTGTCAAGAAGTACATGTGTGCTTGGGCGTTTATCTGCATACATGTATATATATATATATATACATGTAAACATATGTATGTATGTATGTATGTACGTATGTATGTACATTTGTTGATATGCATATATAACATGCGTATGTATAAAGATACATATAAGTGTCTCTCTCTGTCTCTCGCTCCCGGCTCGCCTGAGGTATGAAGTCGGCAAGGCGCGCCAGGGACGAAACCGCTGCCGAGGAAAGACTTCCACGAGCCCGAAGGGCAAAGCCTGGCAGGATTTGTGAGAGAGGCGCTGCAAAGCCTGCGGTTCGAGAATTGTAGTACCCCTATAGGAACAGGCAAGCAGAAAAAAAATACCAAAAAAAACGGAAAAAAAATACCGAAAAAAACGCACGACCCGTTTTCGTGGACATGCCGCTTCAAACTGCACAGCTTCGGTGCCTGAAAGTGCCTTCAGGTCGTATTTGATGGGCAATCCAGAACTCAAGCTGGCCCTAAACGAGGCTGCACAAGTGGTGTTTGCGTGCTCGGTCGTGCGTCGCAACAGCAGAAGGACATCGTGGTCAAGAATATGGATTTGGGTGGCAGCCACGGAGGTTCTCAAGCCGAAGCTAAGTTTCTCCTGGTTACGAGCTCCTCGCTGAATGGCCAGCGGAATCGGGAGTGAACAGTTCGGTTTGTTAACTAGTTGGCAAGTTAATGCAGATGTGATGCGTGATGACTCCAGCCTCTGCACTTGTGCCGTGGTGTGTGTCTGCATGGGGCCAGGATATGGTTCCGTGATCCTGGATGACTGCAACTTCCATGAGTGTGTGGACTTGCAGGACGGCTTCAGCTTCGGCATTCCTTCCACATGCAGAAGAGATTCGTGATAGTGATAGTTCCCGGGAGACCTGTCCCGCTTCGGTCTTAGACTTGAAGTCAGGACTTCTCCGATCTTCGAACACTTTCCTTCTACCCGCCGGACGGCGAGTTTGCAGCTGTGCCCTTGGTTTCCTCTATCTCTCTGTCCCTCACTTGCGCGCCAGCAGTTGCTGGCAGAGGTCATGAACTACCGCATCACTGGCGATTTCCGCGTGCCCTTCAGGAGTGTTTGACTCGAGCCCCGAAGTTAACGAGACTTGTTGCGAGCATTCGCCAGTCGCCAGCTGCCCGTCTGGGCGTTTTTTCGAGAGCCTGATGATCTGCTGCAGGATATTTCCTTTCGCAGAACAACAGACACCACACAAGCTCGAGATCACCATCAAGGCGTTGGAAAGCACAGATTGCTTGCAAGAGCAAGCAGCACTGCGCAGGGCAGTCGCATAAAGTCTATAAAGTCTTAACACGCTGGCTTAAAAGTGCAGCCCAGCGAAAGCAAAAGCGAGGTTTCCAGAGCCGTTCTGACAAAGTTTTCTGCGGCACAGGTCCGAGCCGACATCCCCGAGTCGAACTACGGCGGCAACGTGCAGATCTCTTGCATGCTGCCTAAGGCGAAGCCGATATCGTCGCTGCTGAGAGAAACTTCACCAGACGGTGTTGGCCGGTCTTCTTTGTAGTGACACGCAGTGCATCGCATGGAATTTGTCCGAACGTGTTGGCTTGCTTTGCTCGCGAGACATCCGCATCGGTCTCAACCGAGCTTGCCGTGACGACGGGGCAGTCGGCAGAGCAGCAGGCTCAGGATCGAGACATGTTTGCACAATGCAGGGATCGAAAACGAACCGAAGCTACTCATTTTTTGCGATGGGACCTTTCTGTGCATGATGTGTGTGTGCGCTTGGGTTGATGCTACCAACCTTACCGAAACCATCAGTGCCCTTGAAGTTGTTTCGGATGTCTCGAGTGATGTTTGGGGATGCTTCGAGTACGTTCTTAGGCGGGCCTGCTTGCTGTCTCGATGCCCGAACATGTAGGTTCGTGACTAGGCCGAGGTGGGGGAGGGGGCTGGTGTGTGCGAAAAGGGCGGGGGCCAATGGTGGGGTGGTGCTGGGGGGCCGCCAGGGCTCACACGCAAGCCCTTCGCAAGCCGTAAACCCTATAACGTAGTTCGTGCTCCTGTTTTGCTTGTCCTTACCTAACCTGTACTTTAAACCTTGCGCCCAACCCCAAAGCCCGCCTAAATGCAGGCTCTAAGCCCGAAGCAGAACATACACCGCAAATCCCCCTTAAGCCCTTGTCGACTCGGAGCCTTTTACCTTTTTAACCGTAAACCCAAAACTCAAAAGCTTGAGCTCAACCCCAAAAGCTCACAACCACCGCACAGGGGGAAGAGGGACCCCACACCCCACACCACAGGGGAGGGGGGGCCCCACCCTGTATCCGGACCATTGACCTATGGGTGGGGGCCGCGGAGCGCGTCACCATATATTCATCTTCCGGGTACATGGGAGATGTTCACATGATTGAAGCGTCCTCAAAACAACAGATCAGGTACCTTGCCAGCGAGCATCGATTGTTGTGGAACATCAAGAAGTTCCAGGGCGGGACAGAGGCCGAAGCGACCGACTCGAGGGTCTGGGGTTGAGATCCTATGTCCATGTGCTGAAGGCTGCCATCAAGTGTCGCGTGACACTTTCCGCACCTGTCTCCAATGTCCAGAACATTAAGAAGGAGGTCGGCGTAGGAACCAAATCGGCGCTTCCTTTGATGTTGCTTGTGCAGGTGGGCCCCGTGTCGCTAACATATGAGATCCCGATGTACAACGTCTCGAACCTGCAGGCGCGACTTGCCACGACTTGCCGTTGCAGAGAGAATTCGAGGGGTGCACAGCAGCGCCCCCGCCAGCTGCCAGCTGCCAGCTGCCTGCCAACAGGTGTGCAACTGCTCGCAGCCTGCTCAAGGCAAGTGAGATCCGAAACCACGGAAGCGCCGCCTCGCCATGGGCCGCCTCTTCTGTCTTCTCGCTCTTGGCTTCGCCTGTGATGGTGCGGGTGTGTAACTCAGACTAGGAGTCTATTCTCGCTTTGGAAGTGGAAACAGGCGCAGCTGATAGGCGACCTCACATCCTCTTTCTGATGGTCGATGTCGCTTGTTTGCAAGACCCTCTTGCTTGATGGTCGGCTTGGGTTTGCTGTGTCTCTCCTGCACCAATCACCAATCTGAGCAAATGGATGGGCGACTCTTGGATGATACCGCGCCGCAGTTCAAGCCACCACTCCCAAATTTGCGGGCACTAGCTGCCGACGGCGCGTACTTTCCCCAGGCAGTGAAGTGAAGTCGAAGTGCTGGTCTACTGCAAAGAACTTGTAAGACCCACTTGAGCTGCAGGCATATTCATCATCTCCCCAGTGTGTTCCCGCCCGATCTTCAATGTTGGTCGGGCGCTACCCCTCGCAGATCAAGGCGCGGACTGCCGCAGAGCCAAGCACGGGCACACTGAATAACGTTTCTATCACCTTTGGCCCTTTTCAGGTTTGGGACAACTGGGTTGGAATTGCCAGCGTGAATGGTAGCCTGGACGACATCGATTCGCACTGTGCCAAGACCTTTTCGGGGGAGACGTGTCGCAGATTTGCCCTTGAGCAGAAGGTGAAGGGCACTTTCGTTGATGCGTTAGCTACATCGGGATACAATGTCACTCTCTGGGGCAAGATGCACGCAGGCGCAGGGCTTCAGCGCTACTCGGGCAAGATCGACGCTTGGCCTTGGGGTGGGAAGCGGCTTCCGAAGGCAGCCATGGAATGGACCAGGGCCCTTGGCCTTACACCCACCCAAAACATACCAGGCCTCCCGACAGAGGATGATCTGCAAAGGCCGGCCACGGGGCCCCTTGACTATGCAGCTAGCCGAAGCTGCACAGAGCTCCTCGATGCCGGTCTCTTCAAGTCCTCCACACCCCAATTTCTCTATTGTTCACTCCTAGTGCCTCACAGTCCCTTCTGGACCAATGCGACGTACCTGGCTCAGGCGCCTGACTCGCAACCAGCTTGTCGTGATGTGATGTAATGAAGAAGTAATTAGGAAAAAGGTGCTAAAGTGCATGAAGGTTTTCTTTGCCGGGCAGTCAGGCTACTGTCTAGGAGAAGCTGTGGAGCAGGGCCGCCGATTTGAGGTGCCTGACCTGGGGAACTACAGCTTGCCCAAGTGGCCTCCCAAGATGGAGGTGCACCCGGCAGATGAATATACCTCCAAAGCCAAAAAGCTTTGGCGCATGGATGAGGCTTCACCTGAAAAGGCCTGATGCGGCTGCGATAGCGATATAAGCAGTCGGGTCGCAGGTGTGTTCATTTTGCAGGTGGCGCACCTCCGAAAGGTTTACTTCTCCATGTGCATAGAGGCAGATCAGCTCCTTGGAAGCATCATTGACGCCTTCCGACGCAGCAGCAGCTTTGATGATGCTTACGCTTCTTGGCAGGCAAATCCTCCTGTTCGTGCTTTTAGCCGGCGGATGGCAGCATGACTGAGCATGCCATCAGGTCATAATGCTTGGAGACCATGGCGAGCACGCAACGGAGAATCGCATGCTGGGCAAGTGCCTTTGACAAAGATTCGAACGATGATGCCAGCCCTCATGTTTCAAGTGGCTAGTCCAGTCGATGTCAGGCGAGCCTCATGCTATGGGCTTATGCTGATTGACGAGCCAACCGAAACAAACCAAACGACGCAAAAGCTCAGAAGCATGCCGAAGCATTTTCTCAGAACACACTCAGTTGCTGCAGTGCACGGGCCCCGAACATCAGCTGGAGAAGGGTCTGCTAACGGGCACTTGTCATCGCATTGGCAGCAAAAGCAAGACTTCGGCTGCGGGCGCAATGAAGTGTGTGACTCATCCTGGCCTCTAAGACTCTGAGAAAAGTGGATGAAGTCTTGGTCGAAGTTGAGTGCAAATTTTAATCCCAAGCGCGGAAAGGAGGTTTTGGAGTTTGGCTTTTAGTTGGGCAAAAGCGGACATACTCGGCAGCTTCGAAAGTAGTGGAAAAAACGACTGCGATCCTTGAACCACAAGTACATGAGATCTGCTGAAGCCGGACGAACCTCGGTCGTGATGCTGGAGCTACAGTAATTCAATCATGGAACCAGGTCCTTGCTCGTGGTGGTCAGTGGTTGATACACCGTTTCGAAAAAGTTGCGCTGTTTTAGCTCCTGGTTGCATGCCACGGTGATCGGAGCACGCTGGCCGCCAAGGAATTCCTTTTTCGAGGCAGCAGCACGGGTGCCACTCATGATTGCGGGTCCAGGAATTGCAAAGGGGCAGGTCATCCAGGATCTTACCTCACTGTATGAGCCTTGGCAGTGTCTTACACGTGAGCTTTCGGAAATCGATCCATGTTGGTTCGGAGGAGATCAGACACTCAAATCACTTGAACGGGCTTTAGGGCTGCAGCATTTGGGAGCTTTACGGTTTAGGAACAGGAATCGAGAGTCGACTGACTCCTGTAGATTTGAAGGTTGGTTTTGGGGTTTTTATGGTCAGAGTTTGGGTGAGAGTTTGACGATTCAGTGCTTGTGCCTGAGTGTTGGTTTTTCAGTGTGAGCACAGAAAGACTCACCGAGACGATCTTCGGAAGACAGTCAGTTTTTGCCCAAATAGACACACAGTTAGCTGTTGTCAACGGACCCATCGGAAATAGTCAATGGCACGGTCTGACAGGCATCAGCAGTTACAAGATTATCGAAGATCGCTGAGAAAATGAGGGGTAAGCTCAGCTGCTTGAAAGCTGGAAGCCCAACAGTCTTTGCATTGCCTTCGCAGAAACCTTGGCTTTGCGTGTACGACGGTCCTGGCGATGGGGTTGAGATACCTAATTTACGCACTCATAGGGGACGGTCGCATGCATCATAATTTGAGGATATCTTTCCAACTGTGTTGGATATGGCTGGCGTCGAGTCATCGATTCAGCCGGTGGGGGCGTCCCGGCTACAAGCAGTAAGCTGGCACTGCAGGTAAACTACATTGTCTACGTTTTCAGATGTGCGAAGCCAGGAGTCCCTCCTGCCCGTGGCTAAAGAACATCGGAAGAAGAAGGCAGATTTCGTTGTGGCCGAGTACCACTCTGTGGCTCAATTTCAAGAATGCAAAGTCCTGTTGAAGATTTCCGCTTGCATCAAAACACCAAAACCTGTCCGTTTGGGATGGCATCCCGAGGTGTTTTCCGCTACAGGCAGCTTCATGATCCGCCAAGGACACCTCAAGTTGATTGCATACGCCCCACTCATGCCGGGCTCAGCTGCTTGGCCGCCGCAGCTCTTTGATCTGCATGCTGATCCGTGGGAGAAGCACAACATTGCACCGAAGCTTGTCTCAAAGAATCTTCGTAGCCGGTTTGAATGTTCGCTTTGTGAAAGTGCAGTAGCTTGCCTGACCTGTTGACATGTGCCTGTGACCTTCGGTGCTGCATAGCGTGTAGTTTCAGATGCGAGTTAACCACCTTTACCGCAGCACGCGGCTCTGGGTGATGCAAGCAAAAAGGCCCGCGCGAGCTAGGTGCTGGCATGCAGGCAGCAGTTTGAAGCGGTGCATTCGCATTGGTTGTGCGGAGCAGGGCTAAGCGATGTCAGGCGGCACAGCGACGCCTCCTCAGGAGGTGGATGGCAACGGCGGCGATGGTGCTCCTCGGGATGGGGCGCAAGCTAGTGACGGATGGGGAGGCGCTCGTCCGTGGACATCTTGGGATGCCCGAACTTCAGCAGAGCAGTATGGGTCGGCAGGCCCTCAGTGGAGCAGTAGCGCTTGGGAGAATGCTTGGTGGCAAGGCCAATGGGAGAGACAGCCTGCGAGTAGCTGGGATGAAGGCTACTATGGTAGGAGGTCCAACTGGCCAGGCTATCGATGGAATGACAGCGACCGCACCTACTGGTCGGGATGGAACGCCAGCGCGAACCAATCTGCAGATCAAGGCGGGCGGAGGGCTTCAATGCAGTCCACAACGGTTACTGAGGAGTTCTCAGCAGATGTTTCAGAAGAAGTGAAGGAAGCAAGCGATGCAGGGAGTCAGGCTAAGAACTCCCCGAAGACGGGCAAAGATCATGTACCTGAGTATGATGGCAAAACCCCGATGCGAGATTATGAACGCAGAGTTCGCTTGTTTGAGAGTGCCACAGGGATTGACCCCAGCTATCGTGCTCAGAAGCTGATGGAGAGGCTGACCGGCCATGCTTGGACCGCGACCGAGGGCATCGATCTACAGGAGCTCAAGCATGAGGATGGAGTTAAGCGGCTTCTAAGTCACCTGTACCAGGAGTTGGAGCCCCTCGAGCACTTGAGAGTCTTCTCGACGCTGACCGAGTTCTACCGTGGCTTCAAGAGGACATCGGGCCAAGAGTTTATTGCCTACGACATGGAGTTTCGCACCCACTTGAAGCGCCTGGAGGAGATTGGTGCGAAGATCGATGGCTTGAACAAGGCCTATTGGTTCTTGGAGAAGGCAAGCTTGTCAGACGAGTTGAGGAAGCAAGTGATTTCGGCTGCCGGCGGTGAATATGATTACAGTCGATTGAGGAAAGCCCTGATGGCGATCGTCCCGAAGGTGAAGCGGGACGAGGAATCCTCGACGAGCCACACAAGGACTCCGTATAGACAGTGGAAGACAAAGGGTGGAGCGAGACAAGTGAATGCCACGACCGAGGAAAACCACGAGTCGGACCACGGAGAAGCCGAAGATCACGATGAGGCACATCCCGATGAGCTTGAAGGCGAATTGGAAGTGCTTCTCACGCAGGCAGCTCGGAAACGTGCCGAAATTGAACGGGCACGCGGGTTCTCACGAGGTGAAACCAGTGAGGCACGTGAAGAGAGGATCCGCAGCATGAAAGCCAAAATGCCGTGCAGTGCGTGTAAGGCGCACGGCCTTACCGTCTACGGCCACTGGCACAGTGATGCCGCCTGTCCTTACCGGACCAGTGGACAGGACAGTTCCAAACGGGATGCCAAGAAAGACAAGCCTGTGCTCGCCGTGGTCGCCGAGGAGTTAAGCGACTCCGATGAAGGTGATGAACTGGCGGCCATATACCTCGCCACCACCGGCGAGACCGATGACGAGCATCATGACGATCCACAGGAGGTGTGCACTAACGTTGTTATGCAGACTGGACAGGAACCTGATCGGGATAATCTTGCTCTCAGCGACACATGTTGCGCCAGGACGGTGGCCGGGATCAAATGGATGCAGCGACATTTGAAGCTCCTCCGGAAGCACGGGGAAGACGTGCATATCGTCGACGAGGCCAGGCCTTTCCGATTCGGGGGAGGACCCAGGATTATGTCATCATATGCGGTGATTATGCCGTTACACCTGGCGGGAGCTTCTAAGACAGCACGGGTGAGAGTGAGTGTCGTCGACCAGGAAGTCCCATTGTTGCTCAGCAAGTCGACTCTGAAGGGCCTAGGGATGGTCATGGACTTGGAAAAGGGTAAGATCCTGTTTCGAGAGATGAAAGCGGAAGTTCCACTCAGGGAGACGAAAGCTGGGCTCTGCGGCTTCCAGATCAACACAAGGCCTTCTAGAACCAGGTGGGAGGTCCCTCCACGACAACTGGTAGAGGATGACCACGAGATCGTCATAGGTGAAGCGGGCAGTGATCAGGTATGCATGGCGGGCAATCCAGTGGAGAACGACGGGCCCCACGACAAGGTTCGAGCCACATATCAGAATGTTCAACGGTGTGAAGATGAAGCCCGCAAACTTTATCATGCCCAAGACTATTCCTTTGAAGCCATAACACGATTGGTCAGGATGCTCCCTTTCCACACCTCGAAGCGGCATCGCGCCATCAACGGCGGCAAAGGCAAGGGATATGAAGCTTGGGTTGCCGGGATATACAGTCACGGAGCATGGACCGGGGTGACTAAGAGAACATTGCGGTATCCGAATGTTGTTCGCTATGTGAACATGTTCATGAGATCGCATGCAGATGGAGAGTGGTCATCTTTCACCTTGATGAAGAATGTTTCGACTGAAGTTCATGTGGATCGTCACAATGATAAGCAGGCCCTCGCCACGACGGTCACCTTCGGTGATTTTGAAGGAGGCCAGCTGTGGGTTGCGGATGAAGAGGTTAGCGACTCCGAGTGCACGTGGAAGCAGGGGAATCAGGGTGAATGGATACGTGGCCGGCTTTGTGACACTTATCGTCGACCACTTCAGTTTGATCCTCATGTTCCACATGCAACCCACGATTGGAAGGGCGAGAGGTGGTGTTTGTCGTGTTACTCAGTGCGAACGGCGGCCCAGGTCGATGACCAGATGAGAAAAGCAATGAAGAAGATGAAGTTTCCTCTTCCGAGGAAAGAAGTGACCAGGACCTTTGGGGAGCAGCAGGGTCACACATACATGTCATCAAATCACCCAGAGCCGCTTAGAGATGCTGATGATGTGGATGTGTGTGATGAGCTCAATGCAACTCCGCAGCTGAAGCTTTCAAGATCGACAAGTCCGGGGATTGAGTACTCTGTGAGGGCCGAGTGCGGGTCTCAACATGTCGACCCTTGCCCCGAAGAGGAAGGAGGACTATGTCATCGCAGTGTCCGGCCGGTGCAAGGTGAAGCCGGAAGAACTGAGGGCTCACACCCTCGATCGGTTGAAGGAATTGTGGGCGGTGGTCAAGCCGCCCCGGAAGGGATCATGCCTCCCAGCAGGGTGGCGCAAGATGGACCTCGAGACTCTCAAGGAGGTCTACGCGAGCCATGTCGTGGAAGACGTGGGTCGAAACCACGACAATCACTGGGGCCGCTGGTCCCGGAGCCAGCTCATCATGGAGCTCGAAATGTGGGCGGTGGAGGCCAATGCTGCTTTGAATCTCGATCGGGACCTCGAGATGGCAGATCCGGGTCCCCTCTGCACCGTGTGCGGGATACCGATGGTGCAACGCAACAATCGTCTGACTCACGAGCACTTTTGGGGATGCAGGCGATTCCCAGCATGTCGCACCACGTTGCCGTACACCTACGACAATCGTCCGACCAAGGAGGTGCAGAAGGAGTTGAGGGCGGCTGCGATGGTCAAGATCAAGGAGGAGAAGAACTTCCTGCCGAAGGAGAGGCCCAAGAATCGCCGGAGCCCACCACAGGGCGGCGCGACAGCTTCGTCCGATCACTCTTGGCACAAGACGGGCCCCGTGGACATCGAGTCTTCCGACAACGACGAGCCCAACCAGCTGGTGAACACGAATCTCACGGAAGAGGAAGTGGAGCTCGTGATGGAGATGCGGAAGAAGAAGGCCGGCAATGTGAAGGGCAAGGGACATGGAAACAGTTCCGACGAGAAGTGAAGCATATGCCGATGCCAGCTGAGCTTCAGCCTGCTGCGAGTGATGACGTAGCAGATTCTCCGCGGGAGCCTCTAAGCCCTCATGAGGTTCGCGATAGGATTCATGAAGGTGTTGAGCGTAGGCGTCGGTTGAAGAAAGGCGTGGCTAAGAGGCTCCTGGGAAACGCTCGGGCCATAGTGGCTGGGGTGTTCATCGCAACCGCTGCCCTGGCCGGTGCAGCGGCGGAGGCGGTACCATATGCTTCCCGGATTCGGCCCGATGTGGTTGAGGTCGGTATGACCGAGACTCATTTCCAGCAATCTTTCTCTCGTTGGGGTTGGCGGTCACAACGGTGTGAGCACTTAGCGGGTGACCTGGCCCAAGCGGACAACCGGGAAGCTGTAATGAACTGGGTTGACCAGGCGTCTGTCCTCGGCTCGTCATATTGAATGATTGTTGTCCCACCGTCGGTCGGTCGTGTCGGTCGCAATGCAGTAGTTCACAAGACAGGCGACGTGAGAGACAGAAGAGACACGACTTGGAACAGAGGTATCAGTTTATACATCGCTTGATTGATGGACAGGTGGGGCGAGGAGATCATGTTCTCATGGACATGCCGGTGCGATGCGACGGTAGTGCTCAACACTTTCTTGAAGTCATATGTAGGCATCCGAAAGTTCAGTGTGTGCAATGCGATCATCATGACGGCAGTGTGAAGAAGTGGGCCACCACGTGCGAACCCATAGCTGAGGAAATCGGGAAGTGTGATATGAGCACATGTCGTAGTTCGGACCGTCAGGTTGATGTGTGGCGTCGGAGATTTGCGCAGGCCGTATGTCGAGGATACACACATTATTTGAAGAGCGCCGAGCCTGGAAGGGTTCGACGGATGCTCCGAAGCCTCTCAGCCAGGATCCGTAGAAAGGTTCATCATGACGAGGAGGGCGTGTCTGAGCTCAGATGGAATGAGAAAAATATTCTGCGTGCTCTCAAACAGTGGAACGTCGTCTATGCGCAAGGGGATGAGATGAGCGATGATGACGGTGATGAAGAGATGATCCCCGATCCGCAGGAGCCTAGAAGTGAACAGGCGGAAGCGGCTGGGGAAGAACAGGCACGCGGATCTCAGGAGCCTAATCAGAGAGTGCGTCCGAAGCTTGCTTCGGGTGGGATCACGTTTGAGGTTCCAGCTGGAAGGCGCCTCAGTGAGGCGATACGCCACGGGCTGATCAAAGCTCATTGTAACTTGGGACACCCTAGCAAAGAAGACCTCGCGAGATTCCTGAAGTTAGGTGGCGCACGCAAAGAAGTTGTCGAAGCGGTCAATTGGATGAAGTGTGTTACATGTGCTCATGCTAGGCGTCCCAGTACACACCGCACCACGAATATGCCCCCATGCCAGCTGGAGTTTGGAGACGAGGTCCAGTTGGATTGTCTGTGCATCAGGGATGCCAACAAGGAGAATTTCTGGTTTCTGTCCATTCTTGATCGAGCCACGTCATACCATGTTTTGGAAATGTTGCGGGATCATTCTCCTTTAGAACTTCATCGAGCTTTCGATAGGGGCTGGAGCAAGTGGGCAGGTGTTCCTTCGCGTGTGACTACCGATCTTGAAGGAGGCTTCATTGGACCTGATTTCTGGACGAAAGTCTCACAGTCCGGCAGCAGTCTCGTTTCGATAGCTGGCACCGCGCATTTCCAGGCCGGCAAGATAGAACGGCACAATTCCACCATAAAGGACATGCTGTTTGCCACTATCAGGCAGACGGCTACTGTTGGTCGAGAAGACATGCGGAAGCTTGCCAGGGAAGTTGCGTGTGCCAAGAATTCTCTTGTGAGAGAGCATGGCTGGGCGCCAGTCGCTTTGGTGTTCGGAAGGGAACCTCGAGTCTTCGGTGAGATGTATCATCAGGGCAATCCTACGGCATATCATCCTTCGGTAGGAGAGGCCGGCAGTGATGTTGCCAGCCGAATGAGGTTTCGGTACCATGCCAAGATGGAGTTTGTTCGAAGCCAGGCGAGACAGATGCTTCTCCGAACTGCCCACAATAGGACTCGTAGGTTGCCAATCCCGAAAATAGGACAGATGGTGTTCTTCTGGCGAGCTGAGAAGAGTAAGAAAGGTGACAGTCAGAGTAAGTGGGTCGGTCCGGGTTATGTGGTTGGGCTTCAGGATGGCAATGCTTGGGTCGCGGTAGGCGGAAGGTGTTTTCTGGTGGCGGGAGAACATCTTCGGGAAGCCGTTGGCGACGAAAAGCACTACGGGAATCCTGAGGTTCAGAAGGCCATTGCTTTGTTTAGAAAGGTTCCTAAAGAGGCTACGTATGAGGACCTTGTCGGCCAACCAGATCCCGAGGGAGAGCCTATGGACCTTGAACAGCAGCCATTGTGTCAGGAGGTTGCAGACGAACTCATGACAGATGAGAGAAGCCTGGACACCGATGGTTTGAGTGACGAACATGCCCAGATGTCAGGACAGGTTGGATGGCACGTTGATAGCAGCGGCAGTCCGGTGTTGGTTTCATACAAGGCTTGGGCGTTCAGGACTCCCGAGCCAAGGTATCCAGGTGAGCGTTTTCCGTTTCGCACGTCATGGGTTCATGTGAATGGCCATTGGGAGTGTGTGGAGAATGAAGTGAAATGGATGGAGCTCGAGGATCAACATCAGTTCATTCCTCAGGCTCCTGTAGCTGGCCTGATCACGATCTTCCGAAACCGCACTCGAAAGGATGTGGTTCTTGACGACGTGCCACTGAGCGTCAAGCGAAGGAAACAGCAGTCCCCTCCTCAACAGGTACATGTCGCGAATGCGGGTAGCCAGAGTAAGACGAAACTCAAGCGCATGCTTGAGAAGGAGATTCCGTATGCCAACATTCCTGAAAAAGATCGAGAGCTGTACAGACAGGCAGAAGAGAAGGAATGGAAATCGTGGCAGGACTACGAGAGTTGCGAAATATTGAGTCTTGAAGAGAGTCAGCGCATTGAGAATGAGAGACCGGATAGGATCCTTCCCAGCCGTTATGTGTTTCGCAACAAGAATGCCGGGTTGCTTGACGCTAGCGGAAAAGAGTTACCTGTCAAAGCAAAGGCTCGGCTGTGCTTGCAGGGACATTTGTGTCCAGACAGCCGGACAGGACAAGTCCAGGTTGACAGCCCCACCATTGAGCGAGTATCTACCATGGTGTTCCTTCACATGGTTACGAGCCTAGGCTGGACAGGTGAGTGGTTCATCGGTGACATCTCGAACGCTTTTCTTCAGGGAGCTCCTCTGTCAGGGAAACCAGACATGTACATGAGACAGCCTAAACAGGGTTTGAGCGGAATGAATCCAGGGCAAATTCTTAAACTACTCAAACCTGTCTACGGCAGACCGGACGCTCCACGAGCTTGGTACAACGAGCTCGCCAGGATCCTTGAAGAAGAGATGGGGTTCAGTAAGTGCAAGACTGATCCCGCGACGTTTGCTTTGCGAGACCAGCAAGGAAATCTTCAAGGGTTGATGGTGGTGCACGTTGACGATGTGATGTTTTGCCACAATGGAGGCGAGGCTGGGAGGCAGGTTGAAAAGAAGTTGACGGATCGTTTTCCTTTCGGGACCTGGATGAAGGTCAGTGAGCAGAAGAGTGGAGTGACGTACTGTGGTAAAGAGATCAAGGTCATCGAGAAAGATGGTGAAACGTGTGTCACATTAGCTCAGAATGCTTTCATTGATGGTCGCCTTCAGACAACGAAGATTGATCCGTCGCGACTTCGTGAGCCAGATGCCCGGGCCAATTCGACTGAGGTGACTGATTACAGGTCAATCACGGGAAGTCTGCAGTGGCTAGCAGTTCAGTCGAGGCCGGACATTGCTTTCGAATGCAACCAGCTCCAGAAGAGGATATCGGATCTTCGAGTCTCCGATCTGATCAGGGCCAACAAGGCCGTTCGGGAGGTGTCACGACATAGGACTGAAATCCTCTTCAGGCCATTGGGGCATGATGCTGAGCTTGTGACTTATCATGACGCGGGTCTCTATAGTAGCGTCGGCGTTGAGATTGACGAGAAACAGAGCGAAGATATACTTCAGAGTCATACTGAGAAACGATTGATCTATTCTCAAAAGGGTGCCTGTATTGGTTTCGTGAAGAAAGGAGCCATTGAGCAAGAGGGTAGAGTTCATCTGAATCTCATCGACTGGAAGAGCGCTACCAATCGTCGCGTCATTGAGTCCTCGTTCGCTGCCGAGACCCATGCTGCTATCATGGGACACAACATGTCGCGATTTGCCCAAGTCCTGTTGTGTGAATTGAAGTATGGGTCAAGAGTGATGTCCGCTGTCGAAGATGATGGATGGCAGCAACTGGTTCCGCTTACCATGGTCACCGACTGTAAGAGTATCTACGATACTATTCACAAAGATGGCCAACACGTCGGGGAGAAAGGAAATATTGTGCACGCCGTGCTGCTTCGCCAGTTGCTGACAACAAGGAGTCAGCATGAGCAACCGGGTAAGGCGAGACTGTTATGGGTTCCTACTAGGTGTCAGCTTGCGGACGGTTTGACGAAGGCTCATAGGGGCTCTGACTTGAGAGAACAGCTCGGCGCCGGATTGTTGTTTCACGAGAAAGCACTTAAGAAACGGGCAAGTACAGTCAAGTCAACAGGTCAGAGAGAGGGTTACACCGGTGTGAAAGTGCAGTAGCTTGCCTGACCTGTTGACATGTGCCTGTGACCTTCGGTGCTGCATAGCGTGTAGTTTCAGATGCGAGTTAACCACCTTTACCGCAGCACGCGGCTCTGGGTGATGCAAGCAAAAAGGCCCGCGCGAGCTAGGTGCTGGCATGCAGGCAGCAGTTTGAAGCGGTGCATTCGCACGCTTCTCATGCGGCAGTCCGGTGCCGAGGAAGTCTCCGTCGGATGTCAACAGGCTCATGGAGCTGCTCGACCAAGAGCTTGACATGCAAGCGGCAGATGCGGCCAAGAAGATGTTTGATAAAGAGATGTTCTCGCAATTCTGGTACCATGCAACAGGCTGGCACTGCTGAAACATTCTGCCGGCACAGCGGTTGCTTGAAGTTGGCTGAGATGGTAACCCTGACATGATCATGCGCATTTTCCCGAGTGGTCGAGATGCGCAGGCTGCACAGACTACTGAGTGTTTCAGGTGGAGCGCAGCATTGCTTCGAAGCCATGCGCAGAGTCTACGCGCCCCTTGGGTTCACAGACTAAGGTTCATACTGATGCAGTTGCAAGAACTATTCTAGCACTTCCTGGTTCTAGCCGGCAGCCCAAGCAGCGTCCCAAGCTCTCCCGGAGCAGGTCTTTCTCGGCAGCTGATGCCCAGAAGTTGGCGCAATGGCTCGGGAAGCCTTGCCCAGTGACTGAGATTCTGGTTTGATCTGCACGAAGCTGAAGCTGCAGAGCGGCCGAGCCCTGCAGAGCGGGCAGCTTGCCCATGCAGATTTATGTGAGAGCAAGCTCATCCGCTGGAGTTGTCCGCACATGGATCACCTTCAGTGCAAGATGCTGGCCTGGGATCTGATCTACTACGACATCCGGAGCTGCAATGCAGCTGCAAGTGGGTTGAGTTTGCCAGGCTTTGCTTGGGTGCGGAGCGTGCACACGGGAACATGGACTTGGAGCTTTGATCAAGCTTGGATTGAAAAACGCGGAGTCTCCGCTTTGACAGATGCTGCTCACGGCGGAGTTGTGCGAGGGTGCACAATTTTCGGACAGCTGCCATTGAAATTGAAGATATCAGAGAGACCTTATCACCCGGTGCGCAAGAGCACGTCACGACGTCTCGGTGCAGGTACGCTATCTGCGCATAGCAGAGAGGCACAAGTCCTACAACCCATGCAGATGGGTCAGGCCGGAAATAAGCAGCGAATGTCAGAGAATGTAGCAATGCAGCCCAGTGGCATGCGAAAGACTTGATCTGAAGCATTTTTGCCAGGTACGTGACGCAGTCATCATCCTACGTTTGCCGATTCTGAGCTTTTCCTGAGCTGCTTCCTTGACATGCAATCCGACGTGCTAGGGAACATGCCCTTGCAGACTCCCGAGCTCTCTACAGACTAACATCTCCTGCTCCAACGGTAGAGAGAAGACTTTCTGAGTGCGTCAGTGCTCCATTGCTTAGCATGTGCTTTTCGAGCCTAAGCCGCGACATGCTGCCGAATGTCATGGCAAAGCTCTGTTCCGTTCAGCTGCAAGACGATTCACGAAAAGCACATCGTATGCATCGTCAGACATACAGGACTGCTGCCCAGGCATACAAAAATGGCCGTTCACTGCAAACAACAGTCGCTTGCTCCGGGGAGCTGAGACGGGCCATGTCAGGTCGAGTTGACTCACTTTGCATGGCGGAAGCTGCCATGAGCCTGCAATGAGAACGTGTGCGTGTTTGGATCGATGTAAGCTGCGGGGGGCCAGGCACGTGCATCGCTCCTGCATTCCGTTTGGCTCTATGTCAACCCCAGACTGGTGGGACGAAGGATTCTCACCACACGCTTGGGCCACATGCTGATTGAATTCGTGGAACCTAACTTTGCAGGTTTAGGGAGCTCGACATCTAGCTGTTTGCCTCAGTTTTGTCTCTTGGCAGTGTCCTCAAGCCAAACAACTCCCGACCACATGACTGACGTTTTCCGGTGCAGCATTCGCTAGACACCAACTTGAGCATCTGCGAGAGTCCGCGGCAGTGCTCACGCATCGATGACGGTGCCTTGGGACAGCAATCCAAGTAATTGGTCCTACACTTCCTGTCTGAGCTTCTCCGTGCCGCTTCCATGCAAGTTCAGGCATGTGCAAGACCTACATTTGGCAGTCAGTTTCGCGTGGGAATCGAGAGAGGGCGAAGGACGTCAGCAGAACTTGAGCCACTGCCATGTGTCCAGGAATCGGCCTATTCCCGGGTGGCTGGGCACCAAGATGCAGCATGCGCAAAACCTGCCACCGCTTCGTTGCTTCAGCCATTAGAGATTAAACAACCTGGCGCCGCACCACTTCAACCGGCTGGGGGTAGTCTTGTCATGTCAGGCTCAGAGTGCCAACCCGATCACCAAAACGTGTGAAGCTGAGATCGCTTGTTCGAGCAGGTGCTTGAAGCATGTCACGGGGAGTGCTTCTCAATGAGCTTTGGTGGACGTCGGAAGTTCTTACTTTGGGCGGTGTCTCCTGACTCATGACATAGCTTACGAAGGGGTTCGTTCGGAGAATGCAAGCACTGCCCAGGGTAGAGTTGGGCCTTGTGGACGATGAGCGGCAGCCTCACGCCTTTCCAAGCAAGAGCATCGATGCCTGACAGTCTGACAGTCTGCTTGATGCCTGCAATTAGGGCAAGCACAAGCATCAGGCGAATGGAAGAGGCCGCCCAACTCCCCCGAGACTGATCCTAATAATAAGGTCTTGCACCGACACAACCTTGTGTACCAGATGTGTGTCGCTGATTGGATGCGAGGGTGGTATGAGCAGCCTGGCAGACTGAGGGACGTGGAATCGGAGGGCTCCGCGAAGAATCTGCCAAGGCTGTCACGCAGTCACAGTGTGCAGCGATCTCTTCACTGCATCTCCCAGGCTAGTCGGCGAGCTTCCCTCCGATCGCCAAGCCCGGCGTCGTGCTTTGGAGAGCCGGCTGCGCATCGCTCATGCCAAGGTCCGAGCAAGGGGTACCTCCGACCTGCACTTCCCACTTCTTGCCTGAAGTTGCGGAAAAAAGACTGTACCCATGTACATACGGCTTGAGCTACTTAGTAAAATTTGTTAAGTTGCAGCTGGACGTTGGGTCTTAGTGTGTCGCTGGGAATCTTCAAGCCCGAGTACTCAGACTCATTCCCAGCGCATGCTCTTGCAGGCTTAAGAGTTGGCTTTGAGTCTTAAGATCAGTGAACTATGACCAGGCCCGTAGGGGTTTCACTGAGCTACCATTGTTACGTTCTGGCACGGAGGTGGCAGCACTCACGCAGCGGCCACTGGTACACGGAAGGCAGCATTGAGTGGTCGGCATCCGTACCTGCACGCTGACGAGCGCCAGGTGCTCCATTACGGGTCTGTGTGCCCGGAGCCGAGACTCGACAGCCTTCGAACTCACCGAGGTCGTAGGATGCGGTCCGTGCCCGAGTCCCGAGGTGCTGGCCTTGATCCGAAGTGCAGCCGCGTACCAGGGAAATATCCCTGGCTATTCTGCAGGATGCTCGGAAATCCAAGATTTTAGGGAATCACTGTGCCAGACGATCTTAGCATGACTGAACATGTAAACTCTGCATCAACTGTGCACAGGCGCGTAGATAATCGTAACACTGAAGACGTGCGCAGGTTTATGCGATGCATTTTCTGACGACCTCGCTCGAGCCCCAGGTTGTTCCGTAGGCCCTAGAAGATGATTGATTTCTTGGAGCTCGGCGGCTCAGGTCCGACATGATTTGCGTCCTGTGCAGCCTGCCGCTGTTTGCGCTTGGCACGCGAGGCATCGTGTCAACGTGACCTAAAGGGCACAATCTGTGTCCTGCCGCTGGCATGCCATGGAATCCATGTCAGGTCTTTGCGTCCAGAAAGGCTGCCTTGGCCCCATGCTGACATTGGAAACTCTGGCGTGTTGAGTCGCACGCGCGCTCGGTCGAAAATCCTGCGCTTGCGTGGAGACCCCAATGCCAGCTTGCCAGGTGTTTGCAATGTCCCTCGTCGATCTCAGCGCTTTCGGCGCGTGCGACACTGTGGACAGCTGTAGTCCGAGCATCGGAACAATGAGGCTTCTTCAGAAATGACAAGGAAATATACGCACACAGATAGGAGATCACTATTCGACATTCCCACTGTAAACTCTATTCCACTGCTAGACAAAATGGCAATGTATTGAATCGCTAACTCTAAGCTGTCATAGCAATAGTAGTGGCAGTGGTAGTGGACGGTAGTGGTAGTAACAGCAGTAGGAGTAGCAGCAGTAGCTGTAGCAGTAGTAGCTATATCGGTAGCACTAGGAGTAGGAGTTTCACTGGTAGTAGTACATGTGCAAGTAGTAGTAGTAGTAGTAGTAGTAGTAGTAGTAGTAGTAGTAGTAGTAGTAGTAGTAGTAGTAGTAGTAGTAGTCACTCACGGTTGCCATATCGTCCAAGTCGATACGTTGCGGGGGCAGACCAGTGGTCCGGCGATTAGGTATCGCACCATAAGTTTATGGTTCCACAAAAAAGCATAAAGATTGAAAGAAACTGCGCGCACAGCCACCAGGAAAAGGCCACCTAGTCCATTGTGTTCAGATCAGGTACATGAAGAAGAGAGCGTTCACCTCGTGTCTCCTGTACAGCGCTATATACAGCATCCGCCCCGGCAGACTGTTCCATGACGTTGTCGAGCAACGCCGTGCAAGCAGTCTGTCCCTCACTTCGATCCCCAGCATCAGGAGCTTCAGCTGCTCCAGAAAGCAAGTCAAAACCCTCGGTGGTACGAGTCGTCACTGAGGAGGTAGCCGAAAGCATTGTTGCATCAGTAGAAGCTGCAGAAGAAAGGCTGGGTGCAGTGGCTGCGAGGCTCTGTCCAGACTGTCCGGTCACTGGTGCAGTCGTAGGGTGTGGAGCTCGGCGATGGCATCGAACCGTATGTTGGGCTCCCAAAGATCCACGACAGGTCGAGCAGCAGTGCAGGTGCAATCCCCGAACTAGCCTACCACAGCCCGAAGTACCACAAACAAAAACGTGATTACTGAAATTCGCCGTGGCATCCTGCGCGACTAGGCGCTGGGCTCTCTGCAGTCTAGTGCAGCGACTGGTGTGGCCCGCTCTTTGTCGACATCCAGCACAGCAGTGCCGATGGTGCGAGGGATACCGGAAAATGCATCCCGGTGTGCTGCACAGACGAAGGCCCTCGTTCCCAGGCGCGCTAGAGAGAGGTTGGAACCGAGTCGCTCCGTCGCCTCTGCCGCCAGCTGTGGCCATGTGGCCTGGGCACAACGAGGGATGGCAGTGCAGTGCAGTGCAGTGAGAGACAAGGCAGAAGGTGCAGTGACACGACTCATGCATGTTTGCAAAGATAGCTGCGACTGCTTGCTCAAGCTACACACCTGATCTCACTTCTGGAGCAGAAGGCAAAAGACGGCCCCCTCCCGTCTTTCAAGACACACATGTGGCAGACTATCGAGCGGAAGTGTGCTCGACCACTGGACGCGAAAGCGCCGCAAAACCTACATTAGGGTGCATGCCTAAGGCAAGGGAACCCTATCAAACAGCCGAGGTAACCAGGACACAGGCCTAGGCCGTGGCCGTCGGAACGACAAACCCCAAAGCACGAAGGCGTTTACCTAAGGACCTAAGGTTCGCAGGGAGGGCTGCAAAGTGCGCTACACAGTAAGCGATCATCACAATGCGGTTGCCTCCGGTCCAGTTACATGTAGAATGTAGGCAGCGCTTGGCGTCAAAGGTGACCGCCTTGGCACTCGTCTGGAAGACATCCCCAGCATAGATGGTGTCCCCCACCTCCGCAAAGCCGCCGCCATCCTGACTGGCGATCCAGATCCCACCTTGATCATGGTTGGAAAGTCCCACGAGCAGGCTGCGGCCTTCACGGTTGCCCCTGTCCACATACGGCTCACACATGTCGTCCAAGGTCAAGGTCAGGCTGGTCCACTCGTGCAGTGGAAGCACATCACTCACCATGTGGTTCAAGAGTCGACAGACATTTGCATGGTACTGCGTGGAGCGCGTCAGGCCTCGTAGACCGCCTTTGGCAAAGAGTCCCAGTGTGAAGGAGCGCCCGTTGGCAAAAGCCCGTGGATCGGTGTCCCACCGCAGGAGTTGGACAACAGACCGTGCTGCTGCCCAAACTGAGCCCCGCTCTTCACTCAGAGTGTGCCAGGCCAGCTGCTCCGCGGGCGGAGCCGTGTCGTCCAGGGCACCGATCGGTCGAGGAAGATCCACAATGACCTGTCCAGTGATTGCAGTGTCAAGCGCCTCAGCGTATAGCAGAAAGGGTCTGAGTTCCACATCACTAAGGTGCCGGTGGGCGAGAGCAATGAGATCGTTGCGGGTGGCCATCGTTGCAGCAGGAGGGCAAGTGTCAATATCCTAAGCCCCACTCAGACGCCTGTAGGCGCCCAAAAGGAGTTGTTCCTCAAGTGCAGCGAGATAAAGGTGGCCCGGCAGCTCAACAGCGGAGGCAGTCATGGCCAGTCGTGCAGGCTGTCACCCTGCGGGCAAATCGTAACCAGTAGCCCAAAGAGCTAATCGGCAAGCTGCAAGCATGTGGCGAGCACAACTAGTACAGGGCTGAAAGGACCGACTCAGGCACAGGCGTGTGCGAGGTGAAGCGTTGGCACGAGTGCCCACGGGAGCAGCGGGCTCCGCACGCCCACTGGCTGAAGCCCAAAACCAAAGAAACGCTGCGACGGGCTAGTGTAAGAGGCTGACCCTGGCAGACGGTGGTGGCTACTGTACATGGCGGCAGTGTACAAGCAATGAACTGCAAATGAAAAAGAGGAGCAATGAGTAGTATTAGTAGTAGTAGTAGTAGTAGTAGTAGTAGTAGTAGTAGTAGTAATAGTAATACTACGTCGTACTACGAGTAGAAAAAAGTAGTTGAAGAAGTAGTAGTAGCAGTAGAAGTTGTTGTTGTAGTCGTCGAAGCAGCGGTACGAGCAACAAATGTAGCAAAAGTACTGGCAAGGGTGATGGTAGCGGTAGTAGTAGTAGTAGTAGTAGTAGTAGTAGTAGTGGTAGTAGTAGTTGTCGTAGTACTAGTAGTAGTAGTAGTAGCAGTAGTAGTAGTTGTAGTAGTAGTAGTAGTAGTAGTAGAGGAAGTAGTGGCGTTGGTAGTAGTAGTCGTAGCCGTCGTCATCAGAGTAGCTATTGATTAGTACACTAGTATTAGTAGTAGTAGCTTGTTAATCAGTGGCTCATAGACAGGAAATAGTAGCTTGCATTCAGTAACCAGTAGTAGCCAGTGCACAGCAATATCATTCTTACAACCAATAAGCTAGTGACCAGCATGTTGCAATTACCAACAGTAATTGATCATTAGTTCGTATTCAATAGTAATATTTATTAAGGGTCACTAGCCAGTAGCAATGAATAAGTATCAGTTTGCCGTTCGTTATTGGGAAATCATTGGCATTAGCAAACAGTACGTTTTAGTAAAAAACACAGTAAATAGAACAGGGACTGTAAACTGTTGTCGCAGCAGAAATACAAATGGTAATCGCAACAGTATTATTACTAGTAGTAGTAATGATAGAAGTACCAATACTTGATAGTCGTGATCAGCAATAGCAATAGGAACAGTAGTTTCAACTTTCAACTCGAATATTAGTAGCAGTGGTAACAGCAAAAGAAAGCTTGCTGGTGCTGTTTGGCGAGGAAAAACGTTCCGGTAACACTATTGGGTTGTAGCGTTCAGGGTAAACAGATTGCACGCATATACGCATTTAGTTATGAGGGTTGCATGTCTGCATGTACGGATGTTATTTATGTGTGTATATGTGTGAAACCAGGTCAACCGGAACAGCACATCCCACTCGGAGCTTACCAACAAATGCATTCAGTACAGCATGACATGGGCTGTCGGGCAAATTCAATCCTTTCAACCGCGGATGCAGGTACATGCTGGTTGCGACCCCACGACCACTTGCACCTGGCTCCCGCTCGTACAGCTGGCATATCAATGGGAAGCCAGGTTCATTCATTCTATTGCCGAAAGCTGTGCGCAGCCCAAAAGTTTCGATAAGATCACTGCGAGCATGATAAGGCCCTTGTTCGAGAAGCTTTTTACCTCACATGTATGATCCCGTTATTGCGCCCTGAGTAACTATACAGACTCCGACCCGAAGCCGTGGCACAGAGTGTGTCCAGAGTCGATCGAGATTCGGGACGAGTGGTTCAGACATGCCCAACCGTTCGAGTTTACAGTGGTGTCGCCAGGATGGTGGACGTCCTGGAAGCCATGGTTGGCGTGTGGGAGGTGGGCAAGTCTCCCTGAAAGCGAACTCAAGACCACTGCAGTCAGGGCAAAAACATGTGCCATGGGCTCCTGCTTCTGTGCTTGTGAGCAGACCGTGTGCTGGAGCAAGATCGCCTTAGATCCAACAGCAGGGTCTCTTTAAGCATTCCCGTGTCACAGTGGGCGCTTCTGGCATCCGTGTCGCTGCAACTGGCGCTTTGTGTTTCGTGCGCTGCGCTCAGATATGCAGAGGTAAGGCTCCTACCCACTGCCTTCAGATGAGACGCTGACAGGTGCAGAAGAGTTTTCTGAGAAAGCTCCGTTGTTTGTCGATGTTGCACAAGCTCCTGTGCCTCTCATTGATTGTTTCAAGATCCATCCGGAACTTGTAAGCTTTGCTATCTTATGCAGCTCTCGATTAGCATAATAGACTTCATGGTTCATAAGCACAGACAAGTAACCTTGGCCAGTGACGGCTTTGACTGCAGACCAAGTACCATCATCATCATCAGCATCATCATCATCGCCGTACCTGACTGACTGCACGAGGTTGGCGCATTTATCGTGCCCTTCGCATGGCAAAGCTCTTAGTTCGAGCATGCCATCGAGAATTATTTCACTGGCGTTTGGACATGTTGCAAGCCGGAGATCACGGATGGGCGTTTCTGGTCAACGGTGCAGACAAGGTGCAATAACACTGTAGAAAGATGCAGCTCTTGATGCAATCAGGCTGACAGAGTGATTTGATCCTGATCTTAGCCTCGCCGAGGCTGGTCTCTACGCCCCCGAGAAACCTTCAGACGTTGCAAGGGATCGGCAAAAGGAGCGTTCTTTGCATCTGGCGAGCCGGGGCTGTAAGGTTGGACTCGAAAGTTCCATCCCGAGGGGTTCAAAGCATTAGGGGACGGGATTCCCAGAGTCAAGCTCTGCGCTGTCCTCTTTCTCGCGAAACGTAGCATAGGGCATAGGGCTTCATCTTACGGCCGACCGCACAGGACACCAAGTCGGACCAAGTCCCAACAAGAGTGTCCAAAGCAAGCCTATGCTCGGTTGAATTGCCCGGAGTCAGATTTTGTCGACCTGCACACTCACGCGGTGGACGTCGACTGTAGCTTTGCACGTTAGATGCAGGACATCCACTCCAGAATGCAGCGTGGGGTAGCTTATTGACAAGCGTACTTACCAGCAAGGAACTCTCTCGAAGCACCAACGTTGAACGAACTGCAATGCACCGCAAGCCGAACACACTTGGCTAGGAGATTTCGGTCCTGGAGATCGTTTGCGAGGCTGAGGCGGCAGCGCTTGAACTCCGCAAGAGGAAGACAACGGTGCTCATATGCCTGTTGGAGGACATAGATAGCCTGGAGCAGTGTGACCTGGCCTGCTGCACTGCCGATGTCCGCGCCCGAGCTTGAAGGGTGGCCCGAGCTTGGAAGGGTGGCCAGGCTTGCACAGGGCAAATGCCACTTGTGACATATGCAGTGCCCTCGAGCTCGAAATCCCCAGACGAGCAGGCATTAGTGCCTTGATATCTTATTTCCTTGCGCGGCTGTTCGTAAACGCGGAGTGCCATCGCCGCAAAGTTCTTGAAGCTAGTTCTTTCGAGCCAGTGCAGAGGAGCTATGCTCAAGCGACAAGTCTCGCAGCCGAAAAGTGCTTGGCAAGGGACAATTGCAGCCGTATCTGCAGGAGCAATGAAACTTACCGCTGAGGCAAACTTTCGGGCATTGGATTCGTTCATGGGCTTTACTGCCACAGGATGTGCACAGTTCCTACGGTATCAAGCTTTTCTGGGGCACAGCTCAGACCACTCTCTCAAGCCGGAAGCACAATCCTAACCCTGCAGAGGCCAAGGCGCTTCTGGCAGACGAAGTGGCCGGAGATCCCAGATTGCCAGGTGAGGACCACGCTTTGTGAAGCCAGGCAGATCCAGGCTTGTGGCATGACCGTCATGATCCATCTTGGGCCGAGGTTGTCAGCCAGGACGCGTCGAGAGAAGCCGTGAAGCGCAGCTGAGAGGCCATCGAAGCTTCAAGAGCTCGTGGTAGCTTACACCCCGGGTGGAGAATGGCAACTAATGGCAGTGGTTCGGGGTCTCACTGCGCAAAGGTAGGATCGAGGACTTGGTTCAATTCCCTTGAAAAGTTGTGAACATGGATTTCGGGAATGTCACTGCCATGCGGTTCCTGAGCTGTAGTGATTGCCAGCTTTCCATGCGCTCAGATGCACAAAATCCTTGCAAAGCTCACCGCAAGATCAGTCCAGAAAGTGAGAGCGACTCCTGCGGGGCTGCGGGCTTCGGGGCCTCGGCAGGGTTTGAAAGGGTGTCGATACAGAAGGCATCGCCAGAGCAACCAGTCCCAGCTTATGCTGATGCTCTGATGCTCCTGGTGCCCGGTACTTGTGCAGGCAATGCAGAGGCCAACCTTAATCGATCCCCGAACAACGACATCGCCTTCGAAAAATCACGTTTTGTTACTCCGCGTGCAGCTTGATCCTTGCAGACGGTGCAAGCATTGGACAAAATAGGCAGACTGATCTCTCTCGTCAAATTCCAGCCATGTGCTGAACCCTGACTCCCCCAGCCCTGAAACACAATCCAAGTATCTTGGGTGCCTGGTAGTCTAAAGGCGTCACGAGGCACAATTCGAGTCCGATCCAGTCTTCATAGCCCAGTGCCTTGAAAGCTTGAAACGCGACACCCCTTTGATGTCGCATGCGGTTCCTTCTGACCCGGGGATGTTGCAGGCGCAGTGCTGATGTTTGTGGTAGATCGCTGCTGGCATCATCCCCGTGCAAGCTGATCGGATGGGGTCTGGTAGAACGGGGAGAACTTCTTGTTGCTTGTCCTGTAAAATGCAAAACTGTGAAACATACATCAGATGCTGGAAAAGAAGGAGAAAAAATTGTCCGAAAGAACACACATTTCCGAAAGTGGCGGAACGGATGAGCGCCAGCTGCGACTGATTCGGGAAGCTCTAAAGACAAACTTGCCCCTAAAATTGGCTGCAGCATGGGAAAGCTGATGTAATTGAGATCCGCTGTTTTCAACACCTTGCGTCCGGTGAGAGGGGCAAGTTGCGGTGGCCACAGGGTTCCTGGT